AAGTTAAACAATTTCAAAATTAAATAGTTCAACTTCGATTAGTTTAAGCTATCACTTCTGTCGGGCGTCCCGAGACGCACACTTTCTTTTTTTGAAATCCAAATGCAAATGAAGCGTCTTTTCATTGCAAAATGCTTTGATTTCCCCTGCATGAAAGAGAATGACAAGTGACAGAAGAAAATGAAAAAGTTAAGTCATTGCACCGACCCCAAATAAATTTAGGAAAAGACTAAGACGATGATGATTTGGGTTTAATCGATAGTAAGTGACTACTACCGGCCAATGATAGAGTATTAAGTATCCAAGTGATGGGGATTCAAATAATGACGGGCATGTTGGTCTAGTCTACTAAGAAACTGCTAAGAAAAATGTCGTGGGTTCAATTGCCACCCAGGACAAATGTTGTGTGATGAGCACGATCATTTGTTCTGTGTCTGGGTGTCAGTTATCTATAATATGTACGAGTATGTATTTAAAAATATATAAGTATGTTTATCAGCAGTCTGGTTATTCTACAGTACAGGTTCTGCCTAGTTTGGGATCAGACGGCCGTGTGTGATATAATATATTATAAATGTTGTTTTATTGAACAATAGCGGTAAGCTGTGGCCGGTATAAGATCAAACAATTCCTCAAAGCACTCCCAACGATACGAGCGATGTTATTAAGCTAGATACAAGCAATATTATTCAGCGATAAGTTCATTCTTTACTAAGCTATTTCAGTAGAAGTTACAACAGAACATTAATTGTCTCTGGATTCTTTTGAAGCGGTTGACGTGTCCTGACATGGGACTCGAACAAACGGCCACACTTTGAAACACGCTGAGGGCAAAAGATGACAGTGATTTTACTCAAAAAAGGGTATTACAAAATCAATCAATCTATATACTTTTCATCTTCATGGTTCTTTATAGAAGATTTGCCGCACCTTATACCTTATTGCTTTTACGGTGACTGTTCCATACAATATTTAGTTATTATGGTATACCATAATCGAAAATATTACTCATACACGAGGTCGTCGTACGTCGAGGTCATAAGTCCAGTAGCACTTTTACGAAGTTATAACATTATAACTAGTTGGAATTAGGACCTTCTTCTATAAACGTATATCACACACATACACAGACTATTTGCGTATGATTATAGTAACTAATTGAACGTCAAAGAATTATTTTTATTATTTTACACTAAAAGTTGAGGGTAGATTTGAAACAATATGAATTCACTGGCTAATAAATTTGTTTTAACGTCGTTAGTAAAATCAGTTATTATTGCTACTAGCGGTGTTTATATTTAATTATATTATTAAAAAATGCAAGTAAATATAAGTATTGAAGCCAAGACTAACATTATAGATTTTCATAGCAGTGGGCTAATTTATATGAAATGAATAATATACCCAATGAAACACGCTTAAGTGTAAGTTATTTTATAATCTTTCAAGTATTGGGTCGTAATGTGTAATAAGAATATTTTTTTTAAAGAAAAGCTGCGAGACGTTGAGTGAAAAGATTGTTTAGCTAGTCGCTACTTATTGATCAGTCTTAGCGGCGCCGCGGCGGTTTATTGTTAGTGACTATGGAACAAATGGTTTCATACCAACTAGATCCCAATTACGTCGAGGTTTTGAACGTCGTAATGCTACCTACTGTGAACTGTATTTATCCCGTGGAAGTGTTAGTGAAAGTGTATTGTTCAAGATAACTGTCTGATATACCGTGCTAGTTGTTAGTGAGTGGTTTCAACAACATTCGGATATTAAGGTTATTCCATGGTCAGCGCGATCCCCTGATCTAAAAGTTATTGAAAATGGGGTTTAGTGGCCTCCATGCGTCTTCGTCTTTTTAGTTAGGCAATAACAATTGAGGTCCCACTAAATATTATTTAAAAAAAGTTAAATTTCAATAGAAATACCTTTTTCTTAGGGCAAGTTAGGGGATGTGCTGGCTGTGATAGTAATAAGTAACGATAATATGGTGGTTAAGTTTCAATCTTCTTTTCCTTGAGAAAATGAAAAAATTAAGCTATAAGCTTCTATACAATAACAATAGCAAATTGTATAAGCAATCAAAATGGTTTTAAACGTAAATAATGATATAAATAAATTATCTTGTGTTTGTTTTTTTAAATATTAGGTACATATGACTTAAACAGAATTAAAAAAAAAATATCCTGTCATGAAAACATAAATACCAAACGTCTACAGGCGCTGGAGGAATGATCAATTATACAGTGTAATTGACTAATCGCACGATTCTGAAACTAGTTCTAATGACTATTAAGATGTATTTTAGCATCGTTTTCAGATAGATGCTACCACCAAGTTCGATACGAAGAAAACCTATAAGTAGGTATATTTTATCTAGTGTTACACTAGATACCAATCAACAACTTTCGTATACGTCAGTATTGTGTGGTTATAATGTGTGTCTGAATTGAAACATCACACACACAGAGATTGGCACAGAATCGGCGCGAGCGATTATGAACATTATGATGCTACTGCACTTATGACCCTTGACTGTGCATACGTTAAGGCTTGATCAGAACAGCTGCTGTATCTTTTAATTAAGGTTGCAGAAGACCCGTACCAGTCCTCCGTTAATTACAAAAAATATCGGATAATTAAATAATACCATTCGTTTGGCTGAAAGAAAGATTGGACTGGACTATTTATCCGGACGTACCATGAAATAATTTTTTTTTTTTGTTTACATAAAATGTCTTATTACACTGGTTTATTTCGTGGAGAGCATGTTGAAAACACGAGCGGCGCTATAAAATTTTATGTGAACCATAAAAGTTAAATACTGGCTGGACGCACCGCGCTCTCGTGAAAAATGTCATTGAACGTAACAATATGGACGTCCTTATAAAGTTTTACTACGTATTACTAATTAAAACAGCGATACTTTTTGAATGACTGATAAACATTGAGTTAAAATGAGCACAGAGAATATTGATAATTCCGCTTTTTTAATATTTAAGTATTGTAATTATAAGTATTGAATACAAACGGATTCTTTTTTCACAGGATTTTTATTTAATTACTTATAATACAAATGAAATACCGAACAACGGGTGAATCTCAAACGACTTTAAAAGTTTACAATATTTTTTATACTTCCTACCGTTATGGCTGGCTCATTAGTACTACATATTTAATGCTAATAAGGCAATTATTAGTGAGGTATATTTGAAAAAATACATTTATACATAGTTTAAAAAGTATAATATACTCTTTAACGATCTCTGAAAAAATATAACCGTAAACCCCTGGGGTGCATAATAATTGCGATGCACTGTTTTTCATTTTTAATATTACTGTACTGTGCACATCGGTACATCAACGCAAGGATTAGTAACACTTTATAAATACAAATTAAGTCATAACCGATTAAAAGTATGTTTATAATAGATGGCGTTTCTATTATAAACATACATGGAGAGAATAGGAACCAATTTACAGGGCAGGTGGAGTTTAAACTGATCTGGTTAATAGTGTAAATAAAATTATACACTGCTCTGGTTAAATAAAATTCACTTCTAAATTACTATGGTCTGCAAGATTGAGTAGGGTGCAAGATGACGGCGTCTAGAGGATGTGAGGATGTGACACTTGACCATAAGTAATGATCTACAGACACGTCAGGATACTGCGGAGGTACAATGTGGACGAAATGAATGCACTCCAACCAATCAGAGAGGGAACAGTTATGTCTTGTCTAAGCATACAGCAACTGTACCTATTGCCATGGAGTGTATGACGGAAGGTATCAAAATAAAAATTCCTATCATTGTAGTAAAATTTAAAGTTACTCGTTTTAGCTTGCGGTTTCGCTCGCGTATGAATAATCTATCTCTAACTATAGTCTATCTCTGTGACTTGCGTTCAGATCCGCTTAACAGATCTGCAAAGATCGAGTAATAAATATCCCATCAAAACTTTTGTGATAGTAGTGAAATTTGCTTAAGCATCAGATAACGAACTGACGCTTTCACACTTACTTTAGATCTACTCCGTCGTGACTAGACAAAAATAATAGTTAGTTAATAGTTATCAGTACAAATATTTCCAATAAATGGATCGAACCCAAGATTTCCAATGTGGCAGTCAAAATGATACCGCAGTACCACATAGGTTTTAAAATCCTGTAACATCAGAAAACAATCATTGGCGAAGAACTCCTTGAAGTGAGGCATCGAGTTTGATGATTTGGTCGGTTAAGAATGAGCGTCAGGCGGCGGATTGGAGGAAACATGATTAAAATAAAAGTTTTAGCATCGACCACTAGATGGCGCTACCATTGCGATCTGGAGGATGGTCGGTTTATATCAGCTGCTCGTCTGCGCGCATAAGGCAATAAGAGCGTATAAACTACAATAGGCATCCAGAACTCACCTTAAGGAACACGATAACACACCACTAAGCATTAAGAACGCCTAGCATCGCTAGATATTTTATCAATTATACTTGGGTTTTTAAGTGACAGCTGATAAAATGCTGTCATTAATTACGACCTTGCATTTTTTCTCTCTCTTCTGAATTAACAATGAAGAGGTATTTATAATGAAAACGACTAAAACCACACGGGCTTTTATCAAAAGATAATCTAGGAATTACGCCTCAGACGTATTCTCTCTGCCAACTATCTTCCCCTTGCGGGATACAAGCGTGAGTATATGTATGTATGATTTGTGTATAATACTGTCCGTGTGGCGAGGGATTAAGAATACGGAGTGTCACCACGCCTATTCATCCCGTGGGTATCGTAAAAGCCGACTCAGGGAGCACACTACGGAGCACTGCAAAGAGAAGGAAAACTTGAACCAAACCCGGCTGGACAGCGTGGTATAGTAGGCTAAAACCTTCTTTCCAAGGAGAGGCCTTTGTCCGGCAGTGGACTGTTAAACGCTGTTGATGATGTGTATAATACTCATGTCTTAGGTGAGTAATCTTTTTTGTTAAATATATGGGTAAATATAGTGACTTACCAATAGCTCTTGAAACAGCCAACTGTCCATTAACCCGCCAGGTACCCCAGAACATCACTGTGCCACCTGACTTTTCTATTCTATCCCGTTCATCCTGAAAATTTATTCAAATTATAATCGTTGTACTTGTACTTATTGTACGTACCTACGTCGTAGTACAATATTAGTAACTATACTTGAACTATCACTTCAAGTCAATAAGGGTATCACACTAGTTTATAAATATAAAAACAATGTTCATCCAACCTAGTTGCCATCTCTGATATTACGCATTTTAAATCCCTCATTCAATAGTTAAAATACTTGGGCCTGGGTATTTCTGTTTAAATGTATTAAATATGATATTTAAAATAGTTTTTGCTATAAACCATTTTACATTGCCATAAACATTATGGTTAACTCTTAACATAAAACGAAAAACTTATCAAATATTAACACGTAAAGAGAGAGAAAGCCTAATTATAGTTTTTCAAATATGTTGCGTATTAGATGTGTGAGATTTAGCATGGTTTAAAAAAAATATTTTTAATCTTGCTATAAAACCGTAATTTAAAACAAAATTAATAATTATAATGACGAATGCAAAAATCAAATTTAAAAAAAAATACGTTATCTTTGAGTCTGCACGAAGACTATTATATAAAATGGAAAAAATCAATGCATAGGGTCTAGCACTCTGTAGGAATATACAGGTTGTCAAAAAAAAATAGAAATAATCAACGAGTGCCACAAGCCTGTTTATATAAGCTTCGTAGACTACTCTAAAGCATTGACAGTCTAAATCACAACTACATCTGTTCAGACCTAAGACAGCAAGGAGTGGACAACACATACATCGAGATCTTTAAAAAATATTTACAGCATAATTAAAAGCAGAGATCTATTTCTAATAGATAGGTGTCAGACAAAGAGACCCCCTGTCACCTAACTTGTTTACTGCCGTACTGGAGAATATATTCAAAAGTCTAGGATGAATACGGCCTCACTATAAATGGGTTCCGTCTCAACCACCTAAGATTTGCGGATGATCTTATCCAGACCCTTAATGACCCAAGTAAAATACAAGTAATGGTACAGTCTAAAGACTGTACCAAGACTGGCTAAAGCCAGTAAGAGCAAAGAAGTGGCCCTTCAAAAAAAAACCCATCAAAATAATGGTCACTAAAGGCAATAATGAAAGTAAAGAATTAAGAATAACCATCAAAAGAAAAACTTTCAATACCCGTATCATCTCCTGTATTACTAATGGTCTCTCACCTAGGAACACAGAAAAAAACTAGACAAGTGTTAGGGGGCAATGGAAAGAAGTATGTTGGCAATAAAACCTAATGATCGAATTCTGAATACAGCCAACTGACATAAAGAAATTGAACCAGTCACCGACATACTTACTTGAATTGACCACTTGAAATGGCGTTGGACAGGCAACATGTTACGTTACAAGAGAGACAAATGGAGTAAGCAGCTAACTCTGGTACCCAAGAGATGGAAGCAGACAACCGGGACGTCCAACAAGAAGATGGGAAGATGATTGCCGCCTAACCTCGGGGCCTTAATGGACCAGAGTTACAACAGAGCGCAATGGAAGCAGTTGGAGGAGGCCTGTGTCAAAAGACACACCAAACTGAGAGACATTACACATATTTTATAGTTCAAACAGATTGTCAGTTCGGAACAAAGAGCTATTTTATTATTTTGATGTTTATTTTGATGTGTATTTATAAACCAAAACCAATACAGGGAGGTGTGTGTTTTTGTTATGTTGCAGAAGATGGTTGCTATGTGTGTTGAAACATTATTATAAGTAAGTAAGACTTTAAATTATGACTATTTTTTAATCTGAAATAAGAGCCAAGGGGCGACCACCTCTCCAAACTGCAGTCTTAGTCCCGTTTCTCCATTTTCGGGTAGGAAAACTTCTCTACCTTAACTTGAGGAAACTAATTGAAACAAAAACTTGTTACATTGTGCGCATTTCCAGAAACTTTTTGCCTCTTACAATCGATCTGTTGAACCCGCCTTCAGTATTTCCGGACTGATACAACCTTCAAACCTTAAAAAAAATAGCGTACTCTCACCGCAAAGACCGGCAGCTCTGTCACTCTTGAGGTGCAAGTATGTTTAGACGACCATAGGCACTTACCAGCAGGTGACCGATCTGCTTTTTTGCCCCCTTTGTCATATAAAAAAGAGTAGAATTAGGCAGGAGGCCAGCCATTAAAGATAATCCAAATCCAATGACAGATAGATGATGACGGTGGTGTTTGTAATATATGAGCTAAAAACCCAATCTGTTTAAGAGTAGATTAGACCAGAGCCGTAGGATTGACTTCATTGCAGTGAAATCAAATTTCAATTTGTTTCTTTTTTAATTGCCAAGCGAAGTACACATAGTGCCGTATATTGTTGTGTTATGCTATTTTAACACCTTTTTTTTATGACGGGGAGGAAAATCCCTTCGGATCTCCTGCTCCTCGGGGCCTATCAGGAGAAAGGAGTAATCAGTCAGGCTGCCATTCTCTCCTCATGCTATTTCAACACCCTAGTATATATTATAATAAGAACTAAGAATTATTATAACAGTTTTCGTTTATTATGCGATCAGCGCCTTTTCGACCATTTTCTACACAGTAACAAAATTATTTTTTAACTTACCACAAACACCTAAACACTAAGCAACAGTACAGTATTGATGTGATTACTTTCTAGTCCATTGCGCTTTAAAAGTTTAACTCTAAGGCTTATAAAGCTAAAGTGTAATAAAAATGCAGAACCATTACCCAGAATTATGTACGCAATAATGTTACCCTGTTAACGTAATATCTTGTAATATCTTGCGGTGTTAAGAGCCGTTGTGTGTAATGAAGCAATACTAAGTTGTCATTATAATAAAAATAAAATATTTTCCCACATAACTGGTGTAATAAAACATTGGAATTGTACTTTACAATTCGCAATTCTAAATTACACCACATTTGCATAACTTATACAAAAACTAGCTGACAACTTTGACCTAGTTATAAATTACTATTGTTCAGATTAAATAAAACTTTTGAAATCAGATATAAGATTAATCTATGGTTTTGTTTTACGTAAAGCAGATTCCATGTTGAAACATAAATATGGCAAAGAAACCTTACACATCTCAATTAGTCTCAATTTATTTGTTGGTCATATAATATTTCTATTTTTGTGGTTGGATATCTATGGCATATTGGCATACACACAAACATAAATACACGTAAAAATTACTATGCACCTAAATTGAAAATGTAGGTAAATTATTTTCGATCAAATTTCAGTTACAAATTATGTTACAATGTAGTTATCGTCCACACAAGAAAAATATTAATAAATACCAAATGGAAACCCCTTGCTGCGAAGAACGATTAAATAAAACATTAGATGATTCTCATTTTTAACCGACTTAAAAAAAAGGATTATGATCTCAATTTGTAGCAATTTTTTTATGTAGCTATGTTCACCGCTTACTCGAAAACGTCTGAACCGATTTGAAAAATTCTTTTTTATTTATTCTCTTATTCATTAACTTAAAATACTAATTAAAATAGGAGTTTCAGCCAAAGGCGTTTTAGTGCCAACCTTTGGGTGAAGCAGAGATGAACTACGCAAAAATACTATAAATTCTTGCTGTGTACCATCTAGTAATACTATACGTGTATACACACATACACTACATAATACATTTAATTGAAATACTTGTTAATAAATGTTTACGCACTAATGTAAAGATAACAGAATATTTCTGCAGAATTAAACAAATATGACATTTCTTTGGACTTGATTGTTTACTTTTAAAATATGATAAAATATCTTCAAATTTTCAAACATTTATAAAATTATCTGCATATGAGAAAAATAATTACGTGTAAATGTTTTTATCCCAACCTGATGCAAATCATATGCAAGTACTCATTGGTATGTATGTTATTTAAAACCCTATTGCTTGATAATTTAATTTGCTTTACTTGGGAATTCTTATTGTGTAGATAAACACAGATATTACATATAAGATAATAATATATTGATTTACTAACACAATTTTATGTTTTAATATATTAAAAATGTTGATAGTATTTCAGTAATTTATTTTTCGTGTAGACTTTAGCTTAAAAAGTTCAGGAATCATATCCCATAACTATAACATTCTAGCGCAAAACTAATTTTCAAGTAAGTAAAAATATAATTAGGCAAGAAAGAGACAGCATTACTCATCTCTTGTATTAATGAATTAGTAAATAAGTCGCCATTTTGTACACTCAACAAGTACCTGAAATACTCAGGGGTGGCCTTTGGGAGGTGGCGAGCAGGGCAAACGGCCCAGGGCCTCACTACTCGCGCAACAACCCAAGTAGAAAAATGTTAATTCGAATTTCGCGCCTTACGCATCGCTTAATGAAACTAACGTCACGCTAATCGCGTTCGATTTACGTTCGGGGATTCTCCGTGTTTTATTTAGCCTGCCTTTATGACGGGCTTCTAGTGTTTACTGTCTTTGGCTTCTGCTGTTGGTTGTTGTTCGAGAATGTTCGAGCAGCAGTATGTGTTACGTTGCTTTTTTGTTCCAAGTATCATCATTAAAACTAATTCGCCAAAGGGCCTCGCAATGGCTTAGGCCGCTACTACAAATACTGTATTACCTGTCGGCCAGGCTTGTGCGGTCTGACGAGCTGCATAAGACGCATGCGTTTGGCGAGTAAAGCCAACGAGTCTCCCGCCCACGCCGCCAGCAGGCGCCGCCCACGAACTGCTACAGTTACTGCTGTACTGCCACCACACGCACGCTGCACAAAAAAACACATATTATGCTCACATTAAAGACAATTTTATATGCCTCGGGGAGAGTACCTTTTTCCTTAATATCCTTTTCTATGTATTGGCAATGACATAACAGTTTTGTTTGATTATAATTGTTATCAACAACCATTTTGCCGTTTAATTTCAAATTGGCTTCCGAATCCCTTGTGAAGGCATTTATTTTTACCTCTGACTTCATCTATGTAAACAGTGATAAAACTCAAGTTACACCTGTTGATAAAACGAATATATTCTTAGTGAGTCACACAAACAAGAATAGAGGAAGTATTACTATATATTTTATACACTCATACCTGGTCAGGATGAAAGTTATTTATAACAATTCCTTAAAAATGGCAAATAAATTTATATCTTTAAAATACAAACGAGTTTCAAATCATTTCTGGTCATTTTTTTTACACCGTTAACTGCAATCAAATAGAGGTCACCAGTTTATTAAACTTAATGGCCGTAGTTACAGTTAATATATTTGACTTTTAAACCCTTATTTTTCGGACTCAGGCCTTTTACTCTGACATAACTAATATTGGGTCTATATTTTTTGTTCGTGTAAAGTACATGAGCAAAAAAACATAGACCTAAAAATTAGGAGGACTTCGTTTGGATGAAGAAAGATCCGTTTCTATGAAATTCTCCGTGGTTGACACGGATTTCGGTATTGAAGAGTGATTAGTCACCTGACGAAACCTCATATTCACAAATCATCAAACCTTTAAAGAGTAAACTGCAAAGATTAGAAGTTTATTTTAGAAGTTTTAATTTATGGGACTACCTTAAATTTGAACTTCTACAAATTTAGTTTTCTATTAAGCAGTTTTCAGTTTTCTTCTTTTTTTATGACAGTTTTGCTATGAAAGGATTTTGTTTGGCTGTCACTTGTGCATTACAAAGGATAAACTCTGTTAAAAAACAAAAGATTATGCTGGTTTTTTTTTTTAACGAAATAAAGGACAAACAAGCAGAAGGATTACCTAATGTTAAGTGACTATGCAACTCTGCAACTCTTAGAGGCACAAGTGCTGGTTAGTGGTACTGGTTAGTCATGAAATACTGCCCGATTAATACAGAAATGTACTGTTCTATATCTTTTATGTGATATTAAGAATCTATATATCAACGTGTCCATACTCCAGGAGCTCGGCATCACAGAGTGTCTGTCAACCACAGTACAGTCACACATAGTGCAGTATTTTGGTCATGTCTCTGGGCGGAGTAGCGACTCCATAGAGCGACTAGTAGTGAAGGGAACCAGATGCAGCAGGCGGCAGGGCATCTATGTGCTGGATCGACCAGTTGAGATCCGCAATCTAAAGCCGCGTGTCTGACTCTATCCAACAGTCTGCCAACAGGGAGAGATGGCGGGCGATGGTACGAAGGACTGTGTCCGCCTCTACCGCCGATGTGGACATTTTAATGTAACAACGACCGCTCTGCCAAGAGCGACACGACAGAGAAGAAGAAGATGTATTATATATCCTACTAGAAATTGTATTTTTATTACACATTTAACCGTATAAACTAGCTTAATTTTTGTCATATATATCTGCGGTTATAAGTGTATGGTTACCTTGTATTTTTACAGTTGCTATATTATCCAAGTACACTTTCATACAGTTAAGAAACTGACACACCACATAAATATTATAATGTAGCAATCTAAAAAGCGTGACCGTTAGTTATTATTATGTTTGTTTCTCGTCTATTTTAATTGTTTGTACTTATTTTATTTGATTTAATTTTTGTTCCACTATATTTAATACTTAGTTATTATATAATGTTCTATGAATACCTCAACTCTCAGTGCCCAATTTTATATATTTTGGTGATCTAGGTACTAGCATTAGTATCTACGATTTACATAAACTCAAAATATCTTTCTTTCATAAAAAAAAAAAAAATTGTTTGCAATAGTCTCTTATGTAGAATTTAAAGTCAACACTCAACACGCACAATAGCAATAACCTCAGTTTTGACAAATATTTAGGAAAATACATAAAAAATATATACGTATCGAAAATCTATTATATATGCCTGTGCCGATCTACAACCGCCCGTTTCCAAGGGTTTGAGCCTTATGAGAATAAAGAGCAAACAAACAATATACATATATTATATAGAAAGATTACACTATAGCCTTTGCCCGTGCCTTCGCCGGCGTTAATATAATTGGAGATGTAAGGAATTTTATGTCCTTTTCTTTACCCTCGTGCATGCTAGATTTTAATAAATATGAGATATGTAATTTAATTTATCAAACAAAAACACATTCGCATAATATTACTAATTAGGACCAATATATAGGTCCTAATTAGTAATATTATGCGAATGTGTTTTTGTTGGTTGGTAGTTGGGCATACCTCCTGATTACTCTTCCTAATAAATTCGTTGTCTGTTCTGAGATAGGCGTCACGCATAGCTCTTCTTAAATCTGTAGTGAAGTGCGGACTTTCCACTACGTACTGGTGTAAATGAGCTGCGCAGTACGTTGCCGCCGCTGACCCAGCGTGACCGTCATAAACTGCATAAAAACTTGTAGGTTCCGTAGTCTGGAAAAATAAGTTTAAATTTATCATACTGTTCAGCGTTCTTCAACAATATGAATTGTAAAACGAATATTTTACTTTTTTTTAATAAACACGGTCATCGGTTCCCAAACTAGATAGGGGCTGTACTATCGTAACCAGACTGCTGATGTACATACTTATACATACTCGTATATTTATAAATACATACATATTATGGATAAAATACACCCAAGTCAAGACCTCCGGCTTAGCAGTAAGTGTCAGTAACTACTCGACCTACAGGCCCGTCAATTATTTTCTTATATCATAACAATTTGTTTATTTGCGTAAAATGTGGTACAAAGGTGTGGTATAAAAATATAGGCAAGCTACACATTTCGCCAGGCAACAGGCATGCAAATATAGGCTTGTAGTTTTTCATACAAAAATGATTTTTTTACTAACTTAATTGCTGAATTAGTAATAACTAATAAACTAAATTAATTTGAACAATATACACTTTGAAACCATGTACATTTATAATGTTCGTTATACACACCTACAATGCTTATTAAATTGCTTGGTTTTTGAAATTCATGCATGCACGTTATTGAACCTAACTCTAATTATATTCTTAGACACGTCAAGAAATTAGGTTATAGCCAATTCCATCATCTTGATACCACCAATCCTCACAGAAGGTTAAGTAAGCAAAAAATTTTATTACCATTTCTCAGAGGAACAGTAACCTCAATGCAAGTGAAACTGCAGTTACTTGTGAGTGCAGTCGTTTTGGGTACTTATTCCATTTATTTTGGTTTACCTGAGCCATAACCATCTCTCTTAATAACAGAAACCACTTCAACCTAACTTTTGCTCATGCAATACTAATATTTATTTTAAATTAGACCTAATTTATTTTATACATATGCTACTAGTACACACTTAGACCCAGTGCATGTTAAGGTCTCTATAATTCTTTGTTTTCGTTTTGAAGCTGTCTGGTGGAAAATGTCCAAATGCTACACTGGAGATTTTTCTATTAGACAGCTAGGAAGCACCTAACGCTAACTAGCGATGGGCTATGTAATTATTTTTCAACAATAATCATACTAAATGAACAGTACATTAGAGCGTCTGACGTTATCAATTACGTAAAATCGTGTATATGGGCTTTTATTTCAAACAAGACACGATCCGTGTGATTGGTCTTCTATACGTAGACAGTACGTCCATTGGGCAAAGATTCTCGAAAATTTTTGCTTTCAAAAAATACTGGCCCATGCATCGATATACATCGCAGTAATATTTTGCTGTCGGATGGAGCTGATTAATAACCGATTTTCTTTTCCGTACTGGCCGCTCATTGAATTACATTTTATTTAAAAATATAGCAGGAAGAACAGTCTTCGTTCAACTCTCAAAAAGGCCTAATTAATTGAAATTTAGAGATAGTCTCTAATTACTTACCTCAATACCGAACAATGCTTCTAAATTTCCAATCTCCACATGTCTATCTTCCATGACTCTGCGGGAATTCTTTGTGGCACAGGAGACAGTCTTCAGGTCTCTTTGAGCAAGAGGCGGAGGGGGCGGTAATGTGTCCAAACGGGCATTGTCTAAGTACCGGAGGCAGACATCGTTTACACGGGCTGTCACAGCTTGCATTAATCGGAGGGCTATATACACTGGAAATGACATAGAAAAATAAAATAGATGGGTGTAGTGTTAGGGAATTTCCTATACGGATATTGCTTTTTTACTCTTAAAAGATAAATGAACGCTAGTGATTTGAAAAGAAATAATCGGGTGTTGTTTTTGCGTATTCGTCGTTACAATTTATGAAAATTATACGCTTAGGTATTCTTTACTAGTTGACTTCGGATGATGTTGAGATATACTTTTGGTCGTAAATTGTAATAAATGTATAATTATTAAAAGTAGATGGTACTAACTTTATATAATATATGTAAGTACCTACTATATACATAGCCTAAAATGGCTAAACCACTTCTGACCTATAAAAATTACTAAAAAGTTTTGCATTTCGAATAAAGTTCAGCAAGTTATTATTACAAAAAGAGGATACAGGAAACATTAATTACTGTCACTGTCCTAGAAAATCTAGTAACTTTCTGGGATTCTGACATGTCTGTTTCATTAGTTTACCAATCACGAGTTGTATCGATGTAGAGACCATTATCCTCCAAAATAGTACCTACATATTTATGGTATCAAATCTATTCAAGCGAGTTCTTTGCAAATCATAATTATTATTTTTCTGCGCGTCTACTTTGCATACAAAGTAGACTATCCGTTCTAATCTGCTCTGCTCGTCAGTTACGACCATGGATGAGCTGAAAATATTCGTGTGCCCGCTCCTTGTCCAGCAGTGGACTATTAAAGGCTGTCGATGATGATGATGATGGACGCAAATAGATATTGTTGGCACAAACCAACAATATGTTTTGTGTGGTTTTCCTCTTAGCACACAATAGAAACGTCACTAAATATAGGTACAGTGTGTAAAAGTGTCGTCATAGTATACTCATTTCAATACCAGCAATTCCCTGCAGCTTCATATGCGCTTCTGGTTATTGTCTCATCCCTAACGGCCATGGCATAGAAACAAAGCGTATAATTAATGCTCCTATATAAAAATAATTTCCAAAACCTATAGCTGTCGTGAGATTATTTGTGGGAAAATTAATTGTATCTCATGTAGACAGCATTAATCCTACGTTTTATCAACTAACCATTGACAATGTATTCATTCTTTGACTTTTAAGTTGGGCCCGAGAATCGTAAACTGAGTGCCAAATTTAATAAAATACTTTACTGTAATATTTCGACGAGCCGGATTAATCGAATTTGAGGGTATAATAGGACCTATAAACACTCGATAAATATGACATGAAGGATGACATGACGATGAACGCGATTATTGATTCATTAAAGCATGTTACATTATCTTAAATTTACCTTCATTCATAATATATGTAAATATACATGACATGTTATATAATAGTTTAAATATTACCAAATTATTCTACTATTGTGTCAAGGTTCATTTTGCATGATATGACGTTTATCTAATAATGGTGACGCATAAGCCGATGGCCTGCACTGCATACTAATTAATCATTAACATAAACCAAGGCACTCATGGCATTTTAAAGTACTACTATTAAAATACCCTTAACGTTATATGATTTGAGAAGTCAGCTAACAATATTTAAAATCAAGCTTTTATGAATTCAAACACTTTTGGGACCCATTCGGGAACAGAAACAGACCTCATTCATTATTTTAAAAGATAAAGAATGTAAAAAACTAAGAAATCAATTGACACGAATTTAAATTGCTTATAACTTATTTCGCTCTTATCATGTTTTATATGGGGTTTATTTGGGGTCGGCGCAATAAGTTTTCTTCTTCCGCATTTTCCTCTATCACTTGCCAGTTCATTGTTTACTCCCCTTCTAGCCATATCCTTTTTCACGTGGTCCACCCATCTTTTCTTTGGTATTCGTCTACTTTAATATCCGTCAACTTCCATACATAAAACTTTCTTCACTACATTTTGCTTATCTTTACCTTAATGGTTTTAACCCAGTCATATATTACCGACTTAAACCCTCTCCTAATACAGGCGTTAAAGGAGTTGACACGCATACTATTAGTATTTGCCCTATGGTAGGTATGAATCATTGAATGAACGTCAAAAACAATGTACTGAAAGGAAAAGTTTATTATTCTCATCATTTAAGTATGCCGTTCAGTTTATACGTTATTCACATAACCTCATTCCTTTAAGAACGAACTGTCCGCTGTCGTCTTGATGTGCATTTAAAATTAATCGAGTGAAAATCGATAACATTATTTTAGATGTGATGTATGTACAAGTGAGCTAATGTGACTGTGTGACCGTATCGCAAGCCTTTGACTTGATACTCTAAACAAAGAAAACATTACACACATGCATAGGCTTATTAAAGTTGTCATATTTTGACGCGTATCGTAAAAATTATAAGGTGTGTTTGTACAGACAAAAGTGAAACCCAAATTGTTTGTTGATGTTAAAACGATGCTTTGTATTATAAATATGTCTGTACTTTAATAAAGTACAGTATCGATCTGTTTCTGCATCCATAAAAGCAAGATTTTTAAAAGTTCTAAGTCTCCGCGTAATAAATCAAGCCCCTAATATGGAACAACTTACATAATTTCTTGAAATCCTACACAATAACTTGTATGGGTCTAAACACGTCTAACACAATAGCAATGGAAAAACGAGACCCAGGGAAAGAAAAACAGATTTTAAAAATAATAAGTTAGAATGTTAATAGGAGGTATTGAAAAAAGTAATAAATCATCTTCCCTCCTTAACAAAGGAAGACTAAAGAACTACAAAAAAATAAACAAACAGCCTACAAAAGACAGAAGTTAGTACTGTCTCCAACATTATGGGTTGTTACTTCTTAAATCGTGAAATGCTGATATGATACAGATATCATCTTTAAATTATAAGCAATGTTCGGTTCATTTTTAGAATATTATTAGAGTATATGATGAAAAGAAGTATTTAAAAAGAAAGACGAAGTTTATACGTATGCTACTTCATTGGATTTCAATGTTTTAAATTCTAGGTATAAAATCTAGGTGTAAAGTTCTCCCTCCAGACTGGATAGATATATTATTAAAAGAGTCTACCATTTTAATAGCTTTGTCGAAACAGTCGAGCCTTCAAAGCGTCCTTGCTAAGCGCTAACATAACGTTACACCCTGGGGTAACGTTATGTTAGCGCGTTTTGGTGTGTTTTCACGTCGACTCAAGCAGATGCTATACGTCTGCAGTATGACATAAGACTGGAAGTTTTCCTTAATTGAAGGCTTTCTAATCAAAGAATCTTCACCCATCTCTCTTACTACACCAAACAATTATTCATACGAAACACTAACTTACCTACAACACATCAACATCACGATCCTACGGAATAAAATATGGGACGCTTGTGTATCAGCATCAGTGCCGACTATTTGCAAGAACTATAAAACGTTCCAGAATAAGCAACCATTGTTCTTTGAAAATTGCGTAAAGTTTATAACACATAGAGGAAAATAGAGTCTATAGAAACTTGTCGTACACTTTCCTATATACGATCCTTCTAAATATCATTCAATATTACTAAATTCTAAATATCACTAAATATCATGAATTACAATTATTTTTGTACTAACCGTTAATCTTTAAAGCAAGATAGCCTAAGCAAACACGAAACAAATAAGACGAATAAGAATTGTTATTTATTACTTTACGTCTTAACAACGAAATAGTATTTGCTCAATTTCGTTAGATCACATTACTAAGATAATGACTAGCTTAGTAATAATGACTAGCTTAGTAATAATAGCTACATGTATCCTAGATTTATAGCGAACAAGTCAAAATGGGTAATACTTTAGTTACAGTGATTTGTTTACGTTTCTATCAATAATTCAAGGAATGTATTCGCATTTCGACCGTAACAGATTATACTTTTTGTTAGCATACATTGAAATTTATATGAAGTGCTATTTTTTTAGAGTATTATTATATACTTTAAGTAAAATAACTTTACTTAAGTTAAATAAAATACTTTACAGCTAATTGAAATATATAATCATGGTGCTTAAGTATGCAAGGATTTTCCTATTTTTATTGTTGTTCATATTAACAACATTCGGTAGGTTTAGAGCCTTCTCACCAACTGATGAGAGACAATTCACAGTTTAATTCATCTTATTCCTCTTAAAACAAGACAAACTACTATCATAGATTCTGTTTACTCACCTCGATACGATACACTAACTAGATATTGGTAAAGAAAATTATGTTAAATATCTTATGTCTCGTAAATGATTTAGAAACACACCTGATTCGTCAGATTTGTATCCAAACTCGTTGGGCGTCTTTTTCGATGCTACTTGCACCTCGTCAAGTATGATCCGCCGCAGCGGAGTCATCAGTGTCAGCGGACATTGTCTGAAAACAAATAAAAACAATATATACTACACCGTTAATAGGCATCGTAAAGTTCTCACAACTTTTCAGTGTCAAATAAATTTCATAAATGGTATGGTTACTTACAGAATCACACATTACGTTACATCAGAAGGCAAATTCTCGTAATGAAAATTCGGTCAAAGTTGAGTTCCGAATATCTCTCTCGATCATATGTCATAAAATGTATTTTCGTAGTAAAATATTAAACATCCAATGCTGACTGCAATGTGACGAAAGTTGAATTGGTAACCTGCTAGTCTTAGTAATACTTTACAATTTTACAACCAAAATAACTTTTATGACATTTGTGAGATCGAGAGTAGATCGGAACTGAGTTTAGACCGAATTTTTATTTGGACAATTTGCCTTCTGGGTATTGTCAAATACCTAACCTCTGTCCGTTTGTATTTTTTATAGGTGCTTGACACCCTAAAAGTGTTTAAGTTAATTCATTTGCGATGGTTAAAATCTATTTACAACTATCCGCATACACTACTGCATATTTTTTTTTTGTTTTTAATTATTATTTTTATATGAAATAAAAACAGCTTCGTTTTAATGTAGTTATTAATGTAAACAAATGTTTATACTTAATATTTTTTTAACAATTTAAAATCAGTGTAAAAAGTTTTTTGTGCATTTTTAAGAATAATTTTATTTATGTTTGCAATTAATAACTTGAGAGTTTTTAACACTACAACTTTAATTAATTTTCTCTAGTCTAATCAGTTTAAATCGATTGAAATCATCATTTTCAAAATAATGCTTTCTGACAATTGACAGTTTATTTTTGTAGCAAACTTTCTTTTTTACTTATTGCTACCCGAGGCTTTGCTCGTTACACTGTTTTTCTATCACTCGAGCATAAATCTATTGTCTGGATGAAAGTTAGGCTCTGTGTCCTTCTCTGTTCCCTAAGACGCTATGTTTATACAATATAACATTAAAAAGAATTAATATCTAACGATAAAACATACATAATAACATTTAAAAAAACAAAAAAGATTACATTATTTGCAAAATTTTATGTTTTTTTTATCTTAATAGTTAAGGCGTGAAACCGTAACAATTACACAAACACATTTTCGAATTTGTAATATTAGTTTAGATTAGGATTGTTGCCCCACGTGTAGAAACAGTTTAAATTCGGTACCGCTCAAAATTAAGTTAGCCACTGAATAAATATAATTTCATGTTTTTATAAGTCTATATAACACCTCGTTTAAAAGATTACCTAACGGACGGATGTGTTATTACAGTTGTTTATTAAGATAGGGATGTGTACGTGAAGACTGTAGGCACGTCTTCACGTACCGAACCTTAAAAATATTCCTTTCTATCATTTCCTACAAGGGTAGGAAAGGATATTCAGGATATTTCACCCTACCTGAAATATTCTGAATGATAATTATAAACAAAAGGTTAATGATACATAAATCAGTAAAAAAATATTTCTAATAGTCAATACTTACCTAGAATAGTTACAACTACCCAATTAGCTTGGCATCGTCTGTATTGGCGTCTAAATAATGGCAATGTATAGAAAACAAAAAATGACGTCAATGGAATTGAAGTCAATGAATAGCGTATTGTTTCAGTTAACCGGCGATGAAGCGCATACTCTACATACAACATAATAAGACCAATAATGACTCAATTAGACGAACTCACGAACATACGCTATATGTACATTCCAGTGTGTCAGTTTCCCAAAACCGCGGCATGAAAGATGGTCTAGCAAACTAAAATTATAGACTTTTAGAAGTGAAACATACATACATTGTCAAGCATGTCAAAGTTATTTATTTCATTTTATTTGTACTAATTATCGGTAACAATATTTTATCCTTTTTACTTACAAAGCCATTTAAAGTAATGAAATCTAGAACTTTCTTTAGAACTTTATATATGGCAAGTTTAGAAAACGTAGAAATGCGTTTTGTTGGCAATACTTTTTTTTATGTGCGTTTTGTTAGCAATACTTTTTTTATGGTATAAGGGGCAAACGAGCAGACGGGTCACCTGATGGTAAGCAACTACCTCCGCCTATGGACACCTGCAACTCAAAAGTCACAAGTGCGTTGCCGCCCTTGGAGTCCCACCCGCTCGAGTCAGCGGGAGGGGGGATTTGGGCTCCGGTAAACTCACTCACTGAGTAAAAGGCAACGAAAGAATTGCTTAACACCGGTTTTCTGTACGTTTGGTTATTGCAGTTGTAACAATTTTTTCAATTGATCTCATACAGAAATAAATGTATATAGCGCACCTGACGAGTATTTAAAGGGGTCCGTTTATTGCGGTACCGGAACGGAAACTTTTCATTAAAAACGTGTAAGTGTTAAAACAATATACATGATATTGTGTTAAACATAATTGTGTTTGGTCCGATGAATTTCCGGTAAGCAAAGCGTGAAGGCGCAAGAGAGATAAAAAACGATGCATTACCTTAAACATGTTCTACTGAATCCACTTTATTATACTTTTGTTATGTACACATAACGTATTTATGTGGAAAACGAATGACATCTAGATGTCGAAAATCGGCATCAAATTGTTTTAAATAGAGTAGGTATATAGTTTTATCAAGAATTAGTTTATTACATAACGATATGAGAATGCGGCAGGTAAATCTGTCTGATAAGAAATAATAAAGAGTGACTAAGACATGAGAAAACTTCATTACCATAAAGAAATCGAAATTTAAAATATAAGTAAGTACTAGCTTTAGTCGCCTGCGCGTGTGTCGATTATTGCGGTAAAAAGTAGCCTATGTTACTCCTTAATAATAAGAGTTATAAAGGGATACCGCACGGTTTCCTTTGAAGCGGCGAGTTTTTTAGTCGTATCTGCACCATGGGACTTGAGGCTAAGATCCATACAATTAGCATTCAGACCCATGCCTTAGGAAATGGAGATGCAACGATTTCAGCTCCCTCAGATTTCAATGGCGAAGTGGAAAGACTTAAGCGACCGAACACAGGGCACGCCACAATTTCATGGAGAATTAGCTGGAGAGGCAGTACGTTAGCCTCTCCCATTACCTGTCCCAGGTACTGCTAGCCACGACTATTTCGGAAAGTATTTCTATCGAATAGACCGAGCCACAGTCTGCACGCCATCACTTCGGACACTGCCGCGAGGATACTGACCTCAACGCTCTAGTGGAGTGCTCAGCGTGGACGCAACAACGCTGCAGCAATTGGCGTAGGAAGTTAAGGCATAGGTCTAAATGTTTTCGTATTCGAAATCGAATTATAATCAAATACTATTTTGCAGAAAAACTGTATAAGTGAAAATTTCCTATATGTTAGTTAAGTTCTTGTTGTACATGTAGAGATATAAACGTTTATCAAATGTCAAAGTGACTACTAACATTTAGACGGCTTACTTTATAGATGTTACTTAAGTTCAATATTCTGTTAAACATAATCCGGTTTGAGCCGTTTATTAATTTTACTCAACCAATTATTTAATATTATTACTTAATTTAATCAAAGTAGTAAAAGAGTACAAAGTGTACACATGCTCACAAAACAGGTGAATATGATAACAGTACGTGGACATACTTGATTTTAAAGTGAATAACGTAGCGTAAATATGAAGTTGATAAGATAAAATATTGTTTTGAAAGCGGTCAATACCCGGCTTGCACACAATGTAGTTTCAGTCAATTATTTTAAATTGTTACGTCTACTTGTATATCAAACACGGACTTGATATATGTGTTTATACATCGGTATATATAGAACTAGCTGGTGCCACCGCGACTTTGTTCGCGTGGAATTTGAAAAGCGCTGCCTTAGTGAGTACGGTTCCCGGACCAGGCAAAATTTTATAGGGTTTTTCTGAGAGAAAAAAGAGCCTAAGTTATATATATATATTATAGCCTTATATAGACAGCTACTTGATAGTAAAATATTATCAAAATCAGTCCAGCCGTTTTGAAGATTACCCGGAACAAACAGACAGGCAGACAGACAGACAGAGAGACAAACAAAAAATATTTAAACTGGTTTTTAGGCATAGGTATCGTGCACATAACCGCGTAAGCATGAAAAAAAAAACAATTATTTTGATATAACTTTTATTTATTTGTATAGATGTGGGCTAGTCTCTCTATACTAATACAGCCTTTCAAAAAGATGCAATGAAAATATTGAGAAACAAATTAAGGCAGTTTTAAGGATATTTCAATCACATGAAGACCCTAACAATTTCACCATATCTGCTTCAACAGTACGGATGAGATGATAAAGACATTCGCGCTTACATGTTTATAATTCCTGGTCAAGCCGATAGCAAGTATTCAATAATCGAGCTATGTTAGAAATATTTTATTGTCCTGCAAGCGATTATTAGACCAAATGTTATGTTATGCAGTTATCAATCTTGAATACAGATTAGCGAAAGTAATCAAGTGCGATAACTTTTTCTGAATTTAATTGATAATTAATAATTAATTTAATTTAAATAGAAACAATAAATTTATCACATCAAATGCTGAGGTTGCTGCTGCCTTTGAGAACTTTTTTACTAACATTCCTGTATTAACTACTAAATTTTTGGAACTCCTCACCATGCCTTGCAGAATCAATTTTAAAAGATAATGTTAGTAGGATTGATAATGAATTTAAGTATTTTTATATTCCACTTCACTGTCTCTTTTATTTGATCTTTTATTTTATTTGATATTATTTTTTCCTAATCATATGTTTCTCTTTATTGTCTTTTTACCTTTCTCGTTTTTAATCTAGTCCTTAATAACGGACATACTGGCACACGTCGGAAAAATGTTGTGGTATATTTAATGATGCCATTGTATTTATCTGTAAATTGCAAAAGAGTGGCCATGAGTTTGTTCGCCCTTTCTTCTCATAAGGTTCAACTCCTTTAAAACAGGCGGTTGTGGATCGGCAGAGGCATATCATAGATTTAGTATAAGCATAATTTTACTTAATAAAAATCCTAACTATTTGACA